CTGCAAATGGTTTCTCGCTGCTGACCTGGTGGGTAGCGGTCAAACGCATAACCCACCCTCTATGCCACGGGGGCCCTGCTGAGCCTGCAGTCGTTGCACTGTGTTAACTACTGAGATGGATTTACAAAACTCTGAAGAGTAGAAAGGACAGACGGGTGGTCGGGAGAAGAGAAGGGCAGAATCACATCTGTGGACCCATGACCAGCAGGGGAATGGAGAGGTACACACCAACCTGGTGGCACTGTCTCGGTACGAGTGGGGTGCCACCTAAGTGATTGTACAATAGAAGTTGTGTATTTCAGTAGAAATGTATTAGTTTTCATAGAAGCATACCTATTCAAGGTATAAAACAAAACCATGTTCATTGGCTGAGTTTAACAACCAACAAAAGAAAAGAGGAAGCCCACCGTCATCCAGTAGATTGTGTCTCAGAGTGACCCTAAATAGGAAATTTCCAAGGCTGTAAAGTTTTCCAGAACAGATTGCCCCGTTTTCCCCCATGGAGGGACTGGTAGGTTTAAACCACCACCCTTGTGGTTAGCAATACAACTCTTACCCAACATCACCTCCAGGGTTCCTGAGACTGGCTTTGGTGTCAATATACTTGTAAGGCTGAAACTATGCTTATTTACCTATTTAACCTTCTAATGCTCTCATAACAGTTGTCAGTGTTACCTAATTGCAACAATACACAGAATCATGCAGTTTTGTCTGAATAAGCTACAAGCACAAACTGTCATTTTCTTTGCTCTTGGTATTTTTATAATCATTGATTTTGTCAAATTTTCTAGTTCTTTGGCTCTAATACCATGTTATATATTATTTGTAAATCTGCATCAATCATTGAAGAGGTTATGAAAAGAGGAGAAAAATAGAAGTTTCTACTCAGTTACTCGTAATCTTGAAGCTAATAATGTAATTCTATGTAGAAAAATGTTATCAACTATTTTACTATTTTTCTTTATGCACTCTAAGAAAAATACATTTTAAATTGAAAAATATATTTTCCACATAGTATTCTATGATTAAAACTGATAGATATCGCTGAGGCTGGGGCTCATGGGGCAGGGACGTGACAGCATGAGTTTCTGCCCTGTTTGAAACCAACCCTCAAGAGCAACACCATAGACTATACTCTACCTCCTGGGGTTGGACAGCTTTCATCTTCCGGGGCTTCATCTTCTGGTTGTGTGGCTTATCCCCAGTGCTGGATCTTGGCCTGGAGTAAAAACATTGCAAGTAAATGGACTTAACAGTTCCTTCAGCATAATGGGGGAGACAATCGAGACAGATCATTATTCTTTGCCTGTTGGGTTATCTTTGGTTAATGATTTTGATATGTTCCCTAGGGAATCAGTCTATTTTTAGTTTTCGGTTAGCAGCCTTCTTGTCCAGTCATTTATAATTACCAACAGTGATTTCCATTTGTATTCTCTTCAGAGCCCTGATTCTTAATAATGATGACGTTGATGCCCGGTTTCTATGAAATTATGTAATACATTGATTTTCATTGATTGAGTACATATCCTAAAACTGAAATGGGAGAATCAAGCGTGCTTGTAAAAAATGCAAGAAAGAATCTGTAGTGTCAAAGACCATGTTCCTAAGATGAACTGATCTAGGTGTCAATCAAATTTCCATTTGAACTTTGTATGACTCTCCTCTAGTCATTAACACCATTGGGTTTCCATTTTTACAGCAGGAAAAATGCAGTGTCTACCGTTATAAGGTTGTTGGAAACAGTAGATATATATGTATTCTTTTATATAGGTACAGTACATCTTTATCTGTAAGATATCATACCTTTTAAATCTGTAAAAGTAAAGTAACAATAACTCCCTCATGAAGTTTTTGTGAAGAATGCATGCCATAGTGAATCTAAAGGGGCTTGGCACAGTGGGTGGCATATACTTGTTATCACCAGGGCCCATCGAGTGGACTCTGACTCAGAGCCACTTCATGGACAACCCCATGCCACATGCTGATCAAGAAATGTTAGCTATTGTATACTTGCAGGAATGTCATGATCTATAATAATGGGAATTATTATAGCTGATTTTCATTGTAAATATAGGCACCAACAAGAAAATTGAAGCACATTTTGCAGTAAAGGATTTCCTAGTAAAATGACACTCAGACTCTGCTCCAAGAAAAAAAAAAAGAAATATTTCTGAATATTTGAAATAAATCTAAATTAAATTTGAGAAATAGGTTAAATGGGGGGAGGGGGGTCTTGAAGCCAGACAAAGGCTTACCTCTGAACTTTCTTCTGCTTTCCTCTGGTGCTCTGGTGCCTGACTACTACGGCAACCACCACAAATATGACAGCCACGGGAAACAACACCCCAACCCCGATGGAGAAGTCTGCAGGCCAGAGGAGAGGGGTCAGTCGGTGAGAGAAAAAAGTTCATGTCTAGTCCTCTGGTTATTATTATTGTTATTTTATTATTTAGCACAACTTCCATCTACCCTTCATCTAAGGAGCATGCATGATCTGGAAAAATCTCTCAGAAGCAATAATGAAAATGTATTTTGATCTTGTTGGTTGCAACAATATTCATTTGTTTGAAATGAATTTGTTTGTCATGAATGACTTCAAGTCCCTTTCAGTTTCATTTTCCTCCTCATCTTTCTTTCTTCCTTTTTTGCCACTCAGATCAGGATTTAGGTTTGAGGGAGAAGGAATATGGAGGGATGTCTTTTTTAAGAAGCATACCGTATGTATTACACAGCCCATCTCAAGAAATGCCATCAACAACAACATCCCATTACACTTTCCATAAATGTGATTCTCTTTCTTTCTTATTTTGTTCTCTCCCATCCCCATGCCCCGCCCTCTTTCCTCAATATCCTATATCTCCCTCTTCTTGTTCTTACCCCTGTCCCTCATCTCCTCATAGTCATCACAGTCTTGTTTTTTGGAGTATAAATCATGTTTTTTTATTTGCTTTTCCTTATACTAATGATGCAATAATAAACATTGACTAAGTTTGCTAAACAGAATGTTATCTTATTTAGTCCATGTCTTGTAATGTTTAAGAGAGCTGTCATGGTTTTCTTATTGGTGCATAATATTCCATTGGATGAATGTACCAGCGTGTTTATCCATTCCTCTATAATCAGGGTTTTGGGTTGTTTCTATGTTTTTGTTATTATGGAAATTGCTTCAGTAAGTATAGGTGTACATATGTCTGTTCATGTTGTAGCAACAATATTTAGATAAAGGAACTGTCAAGGATTTAATATGATACAAAAATAATTGCACTATTGGGAGTTAGAGATTTTTTCAATAATTGGAAAACCCAAGGTTCGAGCATGGGAAGAGCATGCAGAGGAAGGAGGATGGGAGAGCAGGAGTGAATCATTTTTTAAATGCACCCTTGCAAGAAAGAGAGAAAAAGAACCCGGAGCCTGAACATTGCGTGCCTAGCTGTAGGGGGGAAAATGAGCAGAGATGCAAGTCAGAGACTTGGTAGAGATGCAACTAGGTGTTCTCACAATTTTCGCCATATTGGAGTGAGGTACAAAGTTATGTGAGCCATTAGTACCTACTAAATAATTCCACTTACATAAAATTCAAAATCAGGAAACATAAAATATTTTTAGGGAAATAAACTTACGAATAAAGCAAGGATACACTCTGCTTCAATAAGCACCCACTAGCTTGTTGTTGGGTGCCAACAATTGTATCTTGGTTCCTAGAGACCACATGTGAGAGAGCAGAACTTCCCTTTAGAGCAGCTCTCTGGTCTTGCTCGCATGGGGGGTGCTGCGTTTGTTTAAACTCCCAATCTTTCAGTTAGCATCAGAGCAGGTAGTCCTCATTCAACCATGGCTTTTCATGCAAATCTACTTGTGTTAATGTTGTGTAGTACTGATGACAGCAGAAAGTTTGTCCCATTCCTGACCTCTCCATAATTGATTTCGAATTCCATTCTTTTTGGGTTAGAAAATATACCTTTGTAGTATTGCAATTCTTATCTTGCCTTGGGTAAATCTCCTGCAGACATCTTTATAAAGTGTTAAAGTGCAAAGATGTCATTTTGAGGACTAGGTTGTACCTGCCTAAGCCATGATGTTTTCCAATTGCCCTACGTGCATGTGAAAACTGAACAATGAATGATGAACAAGACCAGAAAAGAGTTGATCTATTTGAATTATGATGTTGGCAAAGAATATGGAAAGTATCACAAACAATACTCGAAGAACAAACAAATCTGTCTTGGATGAATAATTCAGAATGTTTCTTAGGAGTGATGGCAAGACTTCATCTTAAGTACTTTGGCTATGTTAGTAGGAGACACTCATCTCTGGATAAGGACATAAAGTTTGGTAAAGTGGAGGGGCGGCTAAAAAGAGGAAAACCTTTAATGAACTGGAGTGACACAATGGACTCACACATAACAATTGTGAGGGTGTTGCAGGAGCAGGCAGTGCTTCATTCTCTTGGAGGGAGGGTCACGATGAGTCGGAGCCAAGTCAATGGCACCTGGTCACCACACAGCACAGCAAAGTTTATTTAGTGACCTCATAAGAAGGGAAGTAATAGGACAGAAGATGGACAGATGGTAATGTGGGTGAAGCTGGAGATACTAAAGTCAAAAAAACTCACAGATGTGGAGTCAACTCCGACTCATAATGTCCGGAAAAGACAGAGTAGAACCACCATTGTGGGTGTCTGACATTGTAACTTGTGATTAGTGATTTCAAACTGTTGACCTTGAGGTAAGCAGCCAAACTCAGAACCCACTATACTACTAGTGATCCTGAAGAGAGAGTTAGACAAAATGCCCCATATAAAGGTGGTAGGGAATAAGGTAAGCTATTGGGAGGTTTGATAAGTTAAAGTTGTTGAATGCAAAGATGATCATCTGATCATCTAATTACTTAAGCCATGATGCTTTCAATTGCCTAATATGCTTGTGAAAGTTAGACATTGAATAAGGAAAACTGAAGCAGTATTGTTGCATTCTGAATTGTGGTGGTGGGGAAGAGTATTGAAACTCCCAAGGACTGCCCAAAGAACAACCAGGATGTGTCAGAAGAAACATGGCCAGACTGCGTCTTAGAAGCAAGGATAACAAGGCTTCACCTTACATACTTTGGGCATGTTGTCAGGAGAGAACAATCCCTGCAGAAGAACATCAATTTGGTAAAGTAGAGAGGCAGTGAAAAAGATAAAGGCCCTCAATGAGATAGATTGACACCCTA